CCAGCTGCGTCTGGCTTGGTTCTGGCTGCTGTGCTCAGCTCTTTTCCACTGCTGCCCTTAAGGGTGAACCTGTTGTGCCCCTGTGGCGAGATGTTCTGCTCCTAGACTAGCTGGTTGGATCTATCTTCTACACTCTCTGCATTGATTGCAGCTGCAGGATTACACCTCAGGCGTGTATGCCAGGCCTGAGCTGTGCCTGGAGGGGGCAAGGTGAAGTAGGGGGAAGAGGAAGCTCTCCGCACACATTCACGGGACCTGGGCTCGGACTGGGTCTAGAAACTTTCCTTTAGGATCATCAAAAACTTGTGAAGTTTTTGTTGTGTTTGTGGGAGGAAAAAGAACAAAGAGAAGAAAAATGCCTTTATTAATTTTCAGAACTCTTCTTGGAGTGTTACTTCATGGCACTTGAATGCAATATAGATCTTCAAGTATAAATTATCAATTTATTATTCTCATATAAGTCATACTGTGGCTCACTAGAAGGATAGCATGCTGGAATCCCATAATTCCCAGGAAATACCTATTACTATAAAGCAGAACAACTCAAAATGCTAGTGATTTCATGGGCTAAATTTTTTTTTTTTTTAGTAACCTAAAGAAAAGGGAGCAAGATTCTCTGGGATAAAATGTGTTTTCATTATGGAATTAAGCAGACGTGTGCTTAAGGAAGGAACAAAGCTACTTAGTTTTGCTTCTGCTTTTCCTGTCATTGATGATGAGTTCCTCAAAGATACAAGGTAATAAAAATAACCATTTGTTTTATTTATTTTCTCCTTAGAAAACAGTTTGATGAAATGGCCTCTTATTTTAACTCCTGTTCTGTAAAGGAATTTGCTAAACATATAACTAATGCTACGTCAGAAGAACGACAGAAAATGCTAAAAGACTTTTATGCTTCTCAGTATCCAGAAGTAAAAGAATTTTTTGTGGATACAGCTTCAGAATTGATCACATCTTCCCAGAAGGAAGAAGAGAGAGTCAAGAAGGAATCTAAAGAAAGAGAACCTCTTACAAAAGAAAAGCTCTCAAATTCTAAAGCTTTGTCATTTCATGATTCTACCAGCAAATTTTCCCAGACTTATATCCCAAAAATAAATAAAGGAAAATCAGTTAGGTTTCAAGATCACAATTCCTGTAGAGAAAAAACATTTTCTAACAATACAGAAGTTAAAGAATCACCCACTAACACTATGCAAGAGATTGACAGTGGAAAAAACAGCCACGCATCCAGAGGCGCTGGAGCCTCTCACTTTCTGCACAGGAAGTCTGAGAGCCAGGAGAGCATGTTAAAGAATACTCTGAAAGAACAGCAGGACTTCACAGGAATAGGCATTGCAAGAAATGGACCCCTTTTCAAATTACAAAACAGAAAGATAGAAAATCCAGTATTCGAAAGCACTTGTGTGAAAGGCTTACTTGGTGACACTTCTATTCTTGATGACCTCTTTAAAAATCAAGGGAACAGTTCCATAGGACTGCCAAAGAAAGTTCTTCCAGGGTCTGTGGAGAAAGCAACGAAGAGACCAAAAGATTTCTGGGACATCTTGAATGAGCAGAATGATGACAGTCTCAATAAACTCACTGACTTGGCAATGATAGAGACGCTGTGTGAAAAAGCACCCCTCACCGCAGCCTCTGGAAGGAAAGCAGTGCTAGAGCCATCTCTCTGGAAACCAAATGAGAAGTTCTTGTGGAAGCCATTTAACCCAGGAGACATGGATGAAAATGCCACCTTACAAAGGAGTGACACAGACATATAAATGGATGCATACACCAGTGAACCACTACCCTCAGTATAGACAGCACTGTATTCCACGCTAATTATATTACTGTGAACATCACTGTCAACCTATATTTTAAATTTTTGTTTTAGGGCTTTTTAGTCTAAAATATCATGAATTTGTTTTCTTTAATATCTGATGTGATCTCTTAAAAATATGGCTGTGTTTTAATATAAACCTTTGTTATGAAATAAAAAGCATTCTAGATTTGTTATCGAGAGACCTAGGGCATTTCTCTGACTAATTGTGTGACCATAGAGAAGTCACCTGCTCTCAAGTACATCCATTTCTGGTTACATTGCCTTTATCCTGGTGCCCATAGCACATCATGGTGGGATCACATGTGGAACAAAACAACTCTTGTTATGGCAAGAAAGTACAAAGACAAGGACAAGACTGTCCCACCATCCCTTTGAAAATCACACCTTAATACCTGAAGACCTCCTACTGTGCTCCATTAGATCCCAATAGCACCCCCTGGGAGCAAGCCTTTACCACGTAGACCTTTGGGGAACACATAAGGTCTAAACTCTAGTGCAGTGATGGTGAACCTTTTAGATTTTCCAGTGATAACCAACACCCAGCTGTGGCATATATGCCATAGGTTCACCACCTCTATTCTGACGGATGCTATGATGTTTCAACAGTAAGCATCTTTCCTATACACACCACACTGGTAATATGTCACCAAGTTCTGCCAATGAAATGGGTGGTCTCAGGGAAATCTTAGCTTTTCCAACCTCCATTTCCCCTTTAAGTTAGAAATGGATTGAATTGTTGGTGTTCAAACTTTTTTTTTTTTTTTTTTTTAGTAAATAAGCTCCATCTTAAAAGTTCAATTATTGGGCTGGTGAGATGGCTCAGTGGTCTAAAGCACCTACTTAGAAAAGCTTAGCAAAGCACAGAGACTGTGGTTCAATCCCCCAGTACCACATGCCAGCCAGCCCCACCCCCTGGTGGGCTGAGCTGGCCACACACACACACGCACACGCACACGCACACGCACACAAATAAATAAAATTTTTTTAAAAAGTTCAATTATTAAAATAAGGGTCTGTTGGTTAAAGCGTATCTCAAAGCCATAGAGCTAAGATTATTGCTAAGACACCTTCCAAATCCAAGGGTCCATTATCCTGTTGGCTACAATCTATTTTACTTCATTTTAAGGGAGTGATAGGGTTTTGGGCTGCTGTCTTTTAGCAGTGAAAACTGATACAAATTGAATTCCTTAAGGCCCTAAGGCACCTCTTCAAGGAAGTTAACATATGCAAATGGTGCAGCTGTCCCAAAGTACTCAAGGCAAGCGCACCTTTAAAGAGATGAGTTGGTTTGAACTCTTCATAAGTTCAGACATGAGAAAGCCACCGCAATAAACAGTTGTTCTTTAAAGTTCAGCAAGTAGTTTTTAAATTCTAGTTATCTCCTGTTTTATGTTCAATAGCTCTCCTTTATGAAATGATTATAGTAAATCATAGTTTTTAGTCTCTTCATTGTCCTAACTTAATATAAAAGTTGGTAACTCCTGAGTTCAGAGATTGGTCCCAAAAGTTTTATTTGACATTTATTGATGTATAAAAATCCCCAAAATAGGGATCACTGCTTGCTTGAAAGGTGATTTTTTTTTTTCATAAAAGGAAATAGAGGTCTAGAAGTTATGCTGTCTTTGATCTAGTTGACAGTGGATCTAGGACTCACCAAGGAAGTCCTGTAAGAGCCAGTGAGATGCATCTGCCCTTGAAGAGGCCAGAGTGCCGGTCACTTTCTCAGCTCACTACTTTAATCATCTTTGAGGGGACCTTATTCCAGGTTTCAGCTTATTGTTTGGTGGGGCCATGCTTGTGCATCCTAGTGCTTCTGGAAGCCTTAACAGGATGCCACAAGACCCTCGTTTGGATGACAACCCTGAGTGTTGGCACTTCTCTGGCTGGTCCACATGATTTTTTTGTCACAGGTGGCGAGAACATCTCATCTCACATTTTCTTTGTTAAAGGGTTTACGTCAGCTACCCCAGGTAGGCTGTCTTGCCTATAGTCTTATAGGAACTTATGTATGAAAACCACCCTTTTGGCAATTACCCTCCTCAAGGAGAGAGGCAGGCTCATCCTTCCACAGTTCCAAGGCTGAACTTGCCCCCAGGGTGGCAGTGGTGAGTCACTCCATTTAAATATGGATACCCAGGTCCTCTTTAGGAGACTGGCTTCGGGGCCTAAGGCTTGGCCCCAGCACACTTTGCTGCTTCACAATCATTCTCATGTGCCATGTGTTGGGGTTTGTTACTGGGCAAGACTCACCTGCCTAACCTTTGGTTCCCTGGGAGCCACTTGTTCCAAAAGGAATGGCAGTGAGCACCTCATCCTGCCTCTTTCACTATAATAAAATTTTAATTTAACCCATAAATGTATATCCTACCAGTGGCTTGATTGTTGGTTTCCTCATTTGAGATACTGGGGATTGAACCCAAAGCTTTCTGCACTGTATCCCCAGCCCCATTTTTTGTTGTTTTGAGACACGCTCTTTTTTTTGTTATTATTATTATTTTAGTACAGGATCTACAGGGTCTCACTGCATAGATCAGGCTCATAGTGATCCTTCTGTGGTGTGTGCCACCACTCCCAATCTCAATCTCCATCTCTGCACACCCCAGGGGCAGGGCCAGCATGGCAGGCCAAAGGATCGAACTCCTGGCCCGTGTGTCTGGCTAAGCAGGCACGTTAATCTGCTAAGCTATTTGGCTGGCCGAGACAGGCTCTTTATGTTTTGTTTGTCGGCTTTCCCAGGCCAGGCTTGAATTTATCTGACACAGCCTCCCAGAATGTTGGTATTATAGACATGCACCACCACACCCACCTCTATCTCCTTGAATGCTCTACTCATTTCCTGTGGCCCTGGCTCTCTTCATATCATTCCAGTACTCTCTTCCTGATCTCCCAGTGAGCTCACCCTTCAGTCTTAATGCCTGAAGTTTTTGGACAGCTTGAATTATTCAGCCTCCTAAGTTTCCTAGAGGAATCACCAATGTCTAGTAGAATTATTTTTTGCAAAAGACACAAACTGAAGCAGAAAGGAAAGTTACTGATATAAAGCTGGTTTCAGATGAGGGTTGGTGCAGAAGCTCAGTGGGCACCACCTGGACCCAGAGTCTCCAGCTCTTTCATGTAGTTCTGCTCTCCTAAAGCTGGATTCACATCTTGAAGAAACACTCAAAATCCTCTTCTGCTTATTTGCGCTGATGGTCCCATTCATCATGTTCAGTGAGTACTGAATTTAAAAACTAATCACTTGGATTTACTTCTCAGAGATTGGGGGTCCTGGAGTTAAGAGTCTGGAAGACAAGCCACTCTCCGTGATTTGACAGAGAACTTAATACCATTGGTAGAGTATGTGTTGGAACACTGAAAAGCAAAGAGGGATGCAGTATACCAAAACAAAGCAGGGCAAAGCAGCTGCCATTGCCGAGAAGCAAAGAGAAGCCATTGGAACCCTGGAAACTTAAGGCCTAGCAACAGAAAGGGATGCTGATGAATTGGAGGCAGCTTCAGACCTCCCCATATCTGGTCCCGAGTGTCCCCACTGACCAGGGCCACCTACATGCTTGGGTCCTAGACTCAATCCCTACCCATCTAGAACCCCCTGTTGGCAGAACTCAGCCTGGTAAGAGGTCCTGTTTCCAGGGAGCAGAGGTGGAGGGGCTGGAGCTTAGTGACTCACCATACACCAGACATGTGCCACATACCACACACCCTACATCTCACCCATATATACATATGCCATAAACCCCACATCACACACAAACCATATATACCATGCATATACCCCCACACATGCCACACATACACCATACTCCCTACATCACATACCCACACGTATGTATTCCACACATACATCCCAGACCACACACACCATGCCACACCATATCTCATACATATATATAACATCACACATAGACTGCATGCAATACAAGCATTTTACACACATACCACATGCTGTACATGAAATATGAAAGGAGGTGGGAGGGAAGAAGAAAGAAAAGAAAGGGAGAGAGGGATCCAAAGAAGGAGGGCTTTCAGTTATATAAGGAAGAGAACAAAAGAAACTGGAGAGGGCATAGGGTGGGAGTCTAGTGCTTTCCAGGCAGGCACTTATGCCACTGAAATATCCTGACTGCCCCCTGTTGCGCCATCTTGATGTGCAGTGGGATTTCCACAGTCGTCATGAGGTAAGAGCTACCAAAGCTGGAGGAAAGATAGTGGGCATATGACTCCTTAGGATTCCCCAGGTCCTTCTGGCTCTGACCTTTGGGAGAAGAGGTGCAAAAGCCTAGCTACCAGGCCTAGATTAGGATAACTCAGGCTACAACTGCCCCCTAGCTAGGTCCCCTCCCTAATGTCCCAGGTAGCCCCGCTGTCCTATCTAGTCCTCCAGTAAATGGGTCCAAGATGAAGTTAGTGATGTAAGAGAGTAGTTAGAATGACCCCTGAGAAAGACACAAATGGAAAGGGTTAGGCTAGTTACTACTTTAGAAGGCCTAGGAGACAAAGGAGGGTCCAAAATATTGTGTTGTTGCAATTACAGCTCAATGAAGAAAACTTCACTTTATGTTTATAGCTAAATGAAGTCTTCTGTGTGTAATACATTTATGATCATTTGTTAGGTCTGAGACCCAAAGCAGCACCGCAGAGCACAATGACATCTTAAGGTTATACACTGTACACAATCTTTAGTTTGGCCACCTGACCCATCTATGTCCAAAATAAGGCACGCAGCCTTCTTGGCTGCCATGTCTGTACCCAATGATACAGATGGGAAGCATTCTTTAAAGACTCCTCCTTCCTTGGACTGAGACCTGATTTAAATTAGAACCTATCTGTCATAAATCACTACCAAGTTTCTCATGATGAAGGCCTTTGAGGGAACACTTGCAACTTGAAAAGAACAGGGCAACATTTTTGAGAGTGAAATTTCAAATAACTGCTAAGAAAAATGTCAGTTGAGCATAAGTATCTTCTGAAGTCTTGTGTGTCTAAAAACATTCAAACTTGCATTTGACATGGACATCTTTGTGACTGTACCATAAGAAAACCTCAATTTCTCTATAGCTGACTTACAGTACATTTTATCTGTAAGTCTTCATGGCTGCCTACGTGTCTTAACAAATTTTAAATCAAAAACTCAACCAAGGAGCCAGGTGCCGATTCCTCACTGCATCGGG